GAGAGGTTTTTTTTTTTTCACTATAGGGCGTGTGCGCTCGCCAGACAGACAGAGACAGACATAGAGACAGAAAGTGAGAAATCACCCCCCAGGGGGGATGGTCATGCCACAATCCCTTCTCCTCCATTCTCCTCCCGGGATCTTGGGCACACACGCACACGCGCCCAGCGTGAGTTTTAAGCCACCGGGTCCGGGACGCGAACCGCGGTCAACTACGTGGGAGTCCAGCGACATAGCCATTACGCTAACTGCTGGTTCCCTACAGACTCCTTTTTCTTCCAGTACTCCATCTCATCAGGATCGTAGACATGTTCACCCCTGGTATGTTTTTTTTAAGCCAACAGGGCTAGGACTCCAACCCTGGCCAGCCATGTGGGATCTGACTTTCATTGTGCTGCACCTAAATGCTGCACTACAGGCCAACCCCATTGGTTCCTTCATGAGTAAGGAAGTTCTTAGAGTGCAAGCCCACAATGGCAGCCACTGAGCAGTGTCCCCTGCCGGGCTTCCCTCCTGGGCTCTTAGCCCTGTTGTGAGGTTTCCTGCAGGCCTGTAGCAGGACTTCTCTCCCTTTGAGCCTGCTCATCCCAGGTTCTCTGTGGATTGCTCTGCTGAGGGATGCTTTTGGCATCATTCATTCTTTTTCTCTCCTGGTCCTGCCAGCTTTCTCCTTACTGCCTCTGCAGTTACCAGAGCTTCTGTTGAGATGCCACAAAGAATCAGAAATGACATAGCAAGGAAGTACCCAGTCAAGAAGCAGCCCACTGCCCTTGGCTCTATTCTTTACAGGCTTTAGAACTGGAGACATTTTGACAACCCCCGAGTAAAATTGTGTAACTAAAAGTCACTAGCCAATGACGGCAACATACATGACTTTTTAAAAATAATTGCCCATTGGGACCAGCAGTTGGCGTAATGGCTATGTCGCTGGACTCCCATGTAGTCGACCGCGGTTCACGTCCCGGACCCGGTGGCTTAAAACTCATGCCGGGCATGTGTGCGTGCATGCCCAAGATCCCGAGAGGAGAATGGAGGAGAATGGATTGAGGCGTGACCATCCCCCCTGGGGGGTGATTTCTCGCTTTCTGTCTCTGTCTCTGTCTGTCTGGTGAGCGCACATGCCCTATAGCAAAAACCTCTCCAAAAAATAAAAATAAAAAAAATAATTGCCCATTTGGACCAGCAGTTAGCGTAATGGCTATTTCGCTGGACTCCCATGGAGTCCACCACGGTTCGAGTCCCGGACCCAGTGGCTTAAACTCATGCCGGTCACGTGTGCGTGCGTGCCCAAGATCCCGAGAAGGGAATGGAGGGGAAGGGATTGTGGTGAAGCCATCCCCCCTGGGGGATGATTTCTCGCTTTCTCTCGCTGTCTCTGTCTGTCTGGCAAGCGCATGCGCCCTATAACAAAAACCTCTCCAAAAAAAAAAAGAAAATTTCCCGTGAGTGAGAGACAGAGACAGGGATACATCACCCTGACAGTGTCCCAGCATCACAATCTACCCCCAGCTCCAGCCAGCCCAGCCCACAGGCACACCCATGCCCAGTACTCAGTACTCAGGGAGGTCTCCGGATGCAAACCAGGGACCTGCCACATGGATCTGCCTCACAGCATCACATTTCACCGCTGCGCCACTGTCCAGCCCCAGTGTGTACAATTTCAGTGAATAGTTTGCCCACTTGATTTGATCTCTTGACAGAGCCTGGTCCCCCCAAATGGTGGTTGTGTTTTAAAGAAACTTTCCACTTCCTTATTTTAGAGGGGCACTTCATCCCAGGAACAGGTTTGCATATTCAGTTCACAACAGAATTTATGTTTTTGAAAGTATTATGTCTTTTTTTTCTAAAACTCCTCCCACCCCTTTTTTAAGTTTTGTTTCTTTCTTGAAAGAGAGAGAGATAAGGACCCCCAAAGGGTCTCACTGGGATCCTTCCCCCAGCCTTTAACCAGCCAGGATCTTGTTCAGGCTTGCCCAAGATCCAAATGCAGGACCTTCCTATACAGCTTTGGTGTTGCACAGCGGTGCCTGCCACCTACGCCACCACAGCTGTAGCACTCCCCAGCGTCCTAAAGGTTCAGGTGGCTAGCTCTCACTGGTGCCAGAAACACCACTGTGTGGCTGTGGCCTGTGTTTTCTAAGGGCTATGTCGCACCCTTAAGCCCATGACTTTTCGAGGCCACTTCATGTAAACCACCTTAGAGATGAGAGCAAGATTAAGTCATTCCAAGGAGTCCCTCATAAATCACTGTGCAGGAAATGACAACTCTGCTGAAAACGTAAAACACATTGAAAACCTAATTGAATATGAGTAAATCATCTTGTACCAAATTCACTTTCGGAATTTTCTCACTTTACCTTCATCTTTGGCTCTAAAGTGCCCCCTGCTGGACACAAACAGACAGGCGTTCAGAAAAAGGAACTGTGCAGGCGACATGCTGACACAGACTAATGGGGGGCAGCCGAGGGCAGGCGGGGTGAAAAGAAACACCCTGTCCGCCTGGCATACCTGTTCTAGGATCTGTCAAAACAGCCAGTGTTAGAGATAGGAACCACCTTTGAAATATACTTTAAAATACCATCAGGATATAAACTAATGAGTTAATCTGTTTATCCGAATATCTTCTCGCTCAAGGTCTATGGGTGCAATGGGCCCAGCAGGAAGTGCCGAGGCCTCCCCCTCCACTTTCCAGTGAGGTGCTCACATCACCGCTAGTGCCGCCCTGAGCCAGGTGTGCCGAGCACAGCACACAGACCAGGGCTTGGTTTCTTTGGCTGCTTTCGTCTTGGTGGCAGGTTGAACTGATTGGTCACCATCAAAGTGAAGTTGCCCCATCTATTGGTGGGAACTTCTTAGCTCCCTGAATTTTGATCTCATATCAGTAGGACCTCACCTGTACCCTCCCTTTTTTTTTTTTAAGAGAGATTTTTGCAGGCTGACAGGTGGCATGGTGGTTTAAGGGTGCCGGACTCCCACATGGACTGTGGTTCAAGTGCTGGACCTGGCAGCTTGCTTTCTCACTTTCTCTCTCTCTTGCTCACTCGCTCTGTCCCTCTCTGGTCAAAATAAAATTAATTAAGTTAAATAAAATTTTAAAAGAGAGATTTTTGCTATAGGGCACATGTGCTCATCGGAGAGACAGAGATTCAGAAAATAAGAAATTATCCCCCAGAGGGGCTAGCCATGCCACAGTCCCTTCTCCTCCATTCTCCTCTTTGGCTTTTAGGTACACACACACATGTGCCAGTTGTAAGTTTTAAGCCACTGAGTCTGGTACTCTAATCGCAGTGGACTATGTGGGAGTCCAGCAGCATAACCATTATGACATTTACTGGTCCCCCCCATCTTGCTTCTAAAGCTGATATAGAGAGTTACGTGGTTGGAGGGACTTTGGGGGCCTGATTCTATGTTAGTCACAGATAGGAATGATAGCCCAGTTTGCTGGGCTGTGGATGCTGCTGTTGGTCAGGTGTAGCTCACACCTCCTTGGAGATAGAAGGGGTAAAAGGTGAAACCCCCTAGAGAGGCTGAAAATACAACGTTTGGACCACCTGGGTTTTCTAGAGAACCAGGACCTAGCGCTGGTCCCTCAGCAAGCACTGGCTCTCAGACGGAAGCGAAGGGCTCTGCTTTTATCGTGTCAGATTCCAGCTTCGTTTTATTTGTCTTCTTCCCCTCAGCTCAGTTCATTTCTCAGACTAAAATGCTTCATTCCAGGAGACTCCTTCCTTCTCATCTCCTCTCTGCTTTGGCTGCAGGCAGTTTCACAGCTACCTTGAGACAGTGATCAAGGACATCCTGGCTCCCAGTCTCCAGTGGCATGCAGGGAGGACAGCTGCAGCCATCCGCACTGCTGCCGTGTCCTGCCTCTGGGCACTCACCAGCAGCGACACCTTGTCGGCCAAACAGGTATTGTCCTCAATGGTAGGAGCCAGGAAAACCGGGCAGGAGACCTCCAGGGCCTCTGTATTGTCCCTGCAGGCTCCCGGCAGCTGGGAAGGGCCCACAGTGGAGGGGCAGCAGCTCCACCTCCACTCAGGGGAGCTATACCAGAAAATGTGTTTTTGAAGCAAGCAACAGAAGGAAAGGAAGAGACAGGGCTGCAGCTTTGATGGAGCAGGCGGGAAGTGGAGCAGAGGCCGCAAGCCTCTGGCCGGGCAGCCAGTTGGTGTTACACATTTTGTTTCCTTTGATAATCTTGGGGATTTGCAGGGATTTGGTCTTCTTTTCCTAGGTTTACATATTGAGTGTTCTTTACAAGAACAAGAATTTAATCATAGGATTCAAACTAAAGAGGACAGGCCTCAGGCTTTCTGCATTATTTTATTATCTCTGTCTACACAGGGAATTAGGAAACAGAATAGAAATAGCACTAGAACATTGATGTTTCTGCTTTTGCTTTTGTTTGTGCCTTCATGCTATGAGTGTGCATTGTCAGTTACAGAAAAGCTCCAAGAAGAATTTATCAGGGGTTAGCACAGGGTATGAGCACCTCATGGCACAGGGAATGGTGGTCACTGTAGTTAAAATATTCCAAAAATGTCTTTAGGCACATATGCAGTTGCACTATGGGTAGGATTTACGCTAAGGTACTGTAAGTCATGGATTTTTTAAAAAATCAACTGACTCAGTTAAACAAAAGTTGTCCAGATTATCTTTTGTGTGTGTGCGTGTGTGTGTGTGTAATTTGCTAGAGGGCATGTGTGCTTGCTGGAGACAGAGAGAAATGGTCATGCCACAGTCCCTTCTCTGTTTCTCCTTTTGCGATTTTGAACATGCATCCACATGTGCCCAGTGTGTAATTCAGGCCACTGGGTCTAGGACTCAAACCACACAGTCTACCATGTGGGATCCAGCTGCCTTAACTGCATGCCACCAGCTGGCCCAGATATCTAAATTTTAGAATCAAGATTCAAATCTGCTTCTTATGTAAAACTTATAAAATAGCCTTTCAGACTCCATTAAGTTTGTAATAAAACCAAGTCTTGGGCTAGCTCTGTGGCCTGGTAACCAGCTGAATCTCACATGGACAACAACACAGTTTGCATCCCAGACCCAGCAGCTTGAGAAACATGCCAGGCACATATGCATGCATGCATAAAATCCTGAAAGGAGGGAGAGATGGAGGAAAAGGGATTACAGCATGATCATTCCCCATGGGGCATGCTTTCTCCTTTCTCACTATCTCTGTCTCTCTGGCAAGCACGTGCATCCTCTAACACACACACATTCTTATACACATACAGAGAATACACATACAGTAATCTTTATCATCAAGATAGATCTAATTATGACTCATATCTTATGTGTGTTTACTAATTGCAGATACAGGAAGTACAAGAAGCATTGATGCCTCAAATTCTGACCACCCTGGAGGAAGATTCTCAGATGACTCGATTAATTTCATGCCGTATTATTAACGTATTTTTAAAAACTTCTGGTGATGTGATCGATCCAGATAAATTCATCAAGATATATCCTGGTAGGACATTTTTGTTTTCTCAAGCCTCTGGGTCTGGGATTCAAACCATTGTCTACCACTTGGGAGTCCAGTACCTTAACCATCATGCCACTTGCTGGCCCCATTTTTGTATTTTGAAAACATACACGTATGTTTAATTTTGATAGCAATTTATTTTATAGGGAAAAAAATTAGAAAATACTACTTTCTGACATCTGGTCAAGTTGGTACTATGAGTCCAAACATAGCAACGACATAAAATATAGCTAAATAATATAATGCAAGAAAACATGGTGAACCACTGGGCCTGACTCCGGGGTTGGGGTACAAAACAAAGTTCAGCTTCCACAGCAGCCAGGCGCACAGACCGTAAGGGTTGAAGGGACCCTTCATCTGGAGCAAGAGCTGTGGCCAAGCCTTTGATGTGAAAATGGGGTCTGGGACAAGGCGATTACCCGATTACCAGCAGTGGGCGGGAGAAACTACTCAGCACAGAAGCTGACGCATGGGCAGAAAGGGACAGCCATGCTGCTAGGGGACCAGGGGCCAGGGCCAGGCTGTCACAGCCCCAGGCACAGATGAGTGTTGGGAGCAGAGTGAGAACAGGTGGTCAACAGAAGCTACCAAAACAAACACTGAACAGAAGACTGAATGCCAAGAAAGAGAATCTTGTTGCTTAAGGAAGTCAGCCAGCACCTAGCCCTCAACGGGAGGTACAAATAATGGAACATCCTCACAGTTAACTTTGAAAAATGTATCTAAGGGGGCTGGACTCCCACATGGCTGACTGTGGTTCGAGTCCCAGACCTGGAGGATTGCTTTCTCACTTTCCCTCCCTCTCTTTTTCTCTCTGGAAATATTAAAATAATACTAGTATCCTCTGGAAGCTAAAAGAATAAAACAAGTTGAGAAACAAAATGAAAAATAGAAGTAAGGAACATACAGGTATGAAAAAGAATCATAGCAATTCTACAGAAATACATAGAAATGATACATAATAATTTCAAAAGGCTTTATCTCTAGAGAGAAAAGAGAGAAGGTTTGAGACCAGGTGGATATTAGTGCCTATAGCTGCATCTGTTATTTTTTGTTTCTTAAAACAAGAGGCTACATGGGTTTTTGTTATTATGTGTATTTTTTATATGCCATAAATATTTAGTAATTTCTGAAATATGATTTTTAAGAACTCCTGGAAATGCAGAATGCTCAGTAGAGTTTAAAACTCAGTGCATTAGCTAAAGTCCAGACTAAACATAGCTGAAGACAGTTAGTGAATTGAAAGATGATCATTTGAATTCACTGGGAACACAGTATCTCAGAGAACAATGAAAAATAGGGAAGACAAAGTAAGGCATGGCTGGGGTTGGTAGGTGGCATGGTGATTGAGGTGCTGGATGCCACAAGGCCAACTGCGTGGTTCAAATCCCAGTCCCAGCAGCTTAAAAATCATTCCAGGCATTTGTCGTGGATACCCAGAATCTCAAGAGGAAAATGGGAAAGGGGCTGAGGCATGGCCATGCCCCTGGAGGGGGTGTTTTCACTTTCTTTCTCTCTCTGTCTCGTTGGCACACACACATACCCTTTAACAAATGAAGTAAGAAATAAAGGCATAGAGTATAAATTGTATAAATTGAGAAGCTCTAACATTTTTCTGAGCCTCAGAAGAATAGAAGGAAAGAATGGTAGGGGACTAATATTTGAAGAGAGGGTGACTCAGAATTTTTCCGAACTGAAGATAGATGTGAATTTTCAATGATTGCAGTAGGCACCAAGCAGGAAAACCACTTCCATTTGAGCTCCAAAGTCTGATAACCCTTCCTGGGCATTCTTTCAAGTTTGCTTTTGTTCTTTGTTTTTATTTTTTTAGAAACAAATCATTCCTATTGATAGTCTTCATGGGTGTATTTTTGAACAAGTTCTACCAGTGTGATTTGTTGACTTGTCAGGATTAGATGGAATTTTGCTCACTTTTTCAAATAAAAGCCTGTGAAAAGATTAGACATATCTGGACTTCTGTCCTGCAGTTTCCTGCAAACTCATTACAGAAGGATAAGGATTCTTTAGTGAATTCTTTATTCCCCAGCACCAGCCCTGTGCTCACTATGGTGATGCATTTGAGAGTAAGTTGAGATGGCAACAAAAATGCCCTAAGACACACCCCCGTCGACAAACTCCAATAAACACAAACGGCAGGATAGGCCCCAGCATACATCATCCATTCTGCATTTGCAGTGGTCACTGCTAATGGAAGGGCTACTGCAAACTGTTACAGAGATGAATTTGCAGGCCACTGTTAAAAATTGAAGAGTTGGGACCAGCAGATGGTGTAGCAGTTACATCACTGGACTCCAATGTAGCTGATTGTGGTTCAAGTCCTGGACCAGTGGCTTGAAACTCAGGCCGGGCACATGTGCATGCATGCCCAAAATCCCAAGAGGAGAATGGAAGAGAAAGGATTGCAGTGTGGCCATCTCCCTTGAGGGGTGATTTCTCGCTTTCTCTCTCTCCAGCAATTGTATGTACCCTATAGCAAAAATCTCTGCCCCCGCCTCCCCCCCCCAAAAAAAAAGAAACTAAAGAGTTGGGGATATCACCATCACAAAAGCTCCATGTAACCCATGTCAGCCTGAGCTGGCAGCAGTACACTTTAGTCAGGAGCTTGGAAGAACCATTATTGCCCTTTGACTTATTTTTTGATGAGTGAGGACTCTGACTCAGTCCCTTTACCCCAGAGATGCAGTGACCTGAGTGCCTGCCTCTCGGGGCTGCTGAGGGTCCAGTGCAGTGATGCATTGATGATGCTGCCCAGGTTAGCAGCCCTGCTGTGGCTTCCTCCTCAACCGTGCCCTGTGCAATACCATCTGTTTTATGGCTATGAAGCCCAACACCTTGAGGGAGATGCTTGGGCATCTTGAGTGAGTTAATCCACTGGGCCCTGCTATCTTGAAAGTCTCTTGGTGAGACACCAGATATGGCTTGCTAAGGGTAGACCATACGTTCTGAGTATGGAAGCAGTACAAACTCAAACCGGTGCGTCTGCAGCTGGAAGGCAGCCTCAGACCAACATTCACCTTCCTCCACACTCATTTTGTGAACTCTGTCATTTGTGATTCTCTAAAAGATAAATGGGGATAGATGCCAAAGATTTTTTTTAAGATTATTTGAGAAAAAATTTTATGCATTAATTTTAAAAGTTTCTCCCCATTGGGAAAGATCATTGGTTTTAGCAAAAACAAACCTGACAACAGTGAGCAGCTGTCACTAGGTCCTCAGCTCTGTCTCCAGAGCCCAGCAGGAAAGCCAGCTCAGCTGTGTGTGATGGGCTTTGAACCTGGACACTTTGAAGCCAGAGGAACCAGGGCTACCTCCCAGGTAATGAGGAACTAGCTACTGAGTTTAGGTCTCTAAGCCCCCATAGCAAGTTATTAGAAGCCCACTGAAGGTCCTGGGTCACTCCTTCACTCTCTCCCCACTACATTCTGGGGGTCCCTGGGCAGGAGGAGACCTTGTGAGTGGGCTCTGGGTGTACAGACTCAAGGGGGAGGGCTTCTTAAATACTTTTAATAGAACTTTACATGAAATATCTGCTCTCCTTCCAGAACTCTTAAAACGCCTAGATGATGTGTCCAATGACGTGAGGATGGCAGCGGCCTCCACCTTGATCACCTGGCTGAAGTGTATCAACAGCTCTGATGGAAAGTCTTATTTTCAAAACAACATTCAGTACCTGTATAAAGAGCTCCTCGTTCACCTGGATGATCCAGAGAGTGCCATCCAGGACGCGGTTTTAGGTGAGATCTCTAACAACTCATAGTTAATTCTGGTACCATGCTGAACCCATGTTAATGCGGAGCTCCAGAGCTCAATGGTTGGACATGCGAGGGTTCAATGAATACCCAGACCTGGCAGTTCTGGCCCTTGGGGCACAGGACCACTCCTTAGATTAGCAGTCACAGGGCCCCATTTACTCTGCACTCTTAAAGCCATTGGTAATTCCAAAGAGTTTTCTTTTTCTTAATTATTTATTTATTTATTATTATTATTATTATTATTATTATTATTTTAATTTGCCATAGGACACACATGCTCACCAGAGACAGAGAAAGAGGAAAAGTGAAACAGCAAGCTGGCAGGTCTGGCACTCAAATTGTGATCAGCCATGGGGGAGGGAGTTCAGTGCCACCATGCCTCCTGCTGGACCCCAAAGAACTTTTTTTCTTTGTGGTTATAGCTACCAAATTTATTGTAATAGAGATTAAGATTGAGAAAATTATTAAATATTTGTTTAAAATACAATGGTTAACCCATTGCATATTAGTACAAATAAAATGTGTTTTTTAAGAGAGGTTTTTTATTTATTTATTTTTTATTTCTTCTAAATTTGACCAAAGAGAGAGGGAAAGTGAGAAAGCAAGCTGCCTGGTCCAGGACTTGGAACTGTGGTCAGCCATGTGGAAGTCCCACACATCAACAACCATGCCACCCACTAGCCCAAGAGAGATTTTGGTTATAGGGCACAAGAACTCACCAGAGAGACAGATAGACAGAAAGTGAGAAATCACTCCCCAGGGGGGATGGCCATGCCACCCACAATCCCTTCTCTTCGATTCTTCTCTCGAGATCTTGGGCACGCACACACGCCCACTGTGAGTTTCAAGCTGCCAGGTCCGGGACTCGTACCACAGTCAACTACGTGGGAGTCCAGCAATGTAATCATTATGCCATCTACTGGTCCTACGTGTTTTTGAAAAGTATTTTCCAAAACAAAATAATTAGCAAGAGGAATGCCATTGTTTGACATTTTTGCCCATCTCTTTCACATCTAGCCTGATAAGCAACTTGATTTTCACATCCACTTCTGCACTCAGTTGTGATATATAGTGTTTCAGTCAAAGAATATGAAAAAATGTGCCTCTGGCTTCCTAGATAGCAGGGAAAGAAAAGAATATTTGAATAGTCTTTTCAGATCATTGTAGGCTCCTTCTTTGATACTGTGCCAAAAGTGGATAGGTGATAGTTTCCTGAAGATTCCTCACAGTGTAGATTCAGCACCTCAAGGAACCTTTTATCATTATATTCAACTCCATGGGCCTATCTTGCACCTTTGGCAAATACTAGCCCATTGAATTATATGTATCTTCCTGATGTGGATACATTCACTATGCAATGTCAGAAGACCTTGTCTGTTAGCATCGATCT